TGCAAGCACAGCGCTAATGGCTCAGCAGAGACAGACGGGGGCTGTTCAGGGTGAGCGCCATTAGTGGCAGCTTCCGAAGCCCCCCAAGCGGATGGGAGAGCCAGATACCTCCCGGCCTGGGGAGGCTCTCCTGCACTGGTTACTGGGCGAGGCTGCCCCAGAGGCAGGCGTCCAGGCAGGGGAGGGACCCCTCCACGGCCACCAGTCGCCATAGCGCCCGCCCGGCTCGTGGCTGCGGGTCAAACGTGAGAAGATGGCGTCTCGGCCAAGCTTTTGCTCGCCGGCGGCCTGTCTGGCCCGTTCGCTGCTCTCGCAGGCTCTGAACCCGGAGGGAGCCGCCTTGCTTTACTGCCGCCTGCGGAGAGACAGGCCGCGAGCCTCCTCTGGGACGTTGCCCTCCCGCGCGCCTGCCTCTCGTGTGCCCTGGCGGGACAGATGATGTGTCCGAGGCGGTCCAGCAAGGGGACTCCGGGTTCCGTGCGCTCCCTCCGCTCCGTGTTCACACGTGGTGAATGTGGGGGAGCGCTGGGGGGGCGCCTTGGGTCTCTGGAGCTGGCAGCAGCGGTGACGTCTCCCCTGCCCATGAAAGCCGAGGGGAGGAGCTGGCACCACCCGCGGCTCGGCTGCCGCCGGCCTGCTAGCCTGAGCCTTGCTGTGGTGTGGGGTTCCTTGCTGTGGTGTGGGGTTCGGCGTCTGCTTCCAGCCGCGCGGCTGTGGTGCCAGAGAGCGGGCCGGGCTCGCAGCCTCGCACTACTTCGGCCATCCTGTGCACGCCCCCCGATTCATTTGATGCCCAATTAAACTTGCTTACTGTAGCTTCTGGAAGGTCTTTGTTAAATACTTTTCCTTGGAAAATTTCTCTTTGGATGGTAACGCTTTGCCGTTTACAAACAAAAAGAAAGCTTTTCTCTTCGAGCCATCCGGTGTGTAATCCTTTAAAACGCAGTGACGTTCCTTGGAGACGTCCGTTTTCAGAGTGCGTACACCACTTGAACAGCGAAACAAAGAGGATTTACGGTGCCTGGCCAGCCTCGTTTCCTGCTTCCCTTTAGGCTTTCTTGGGGGAAATTATTTTGACAGAGGAGTGACGTGGGGAGGGCGGTTTCAGGGGCGCTGCTCGCCTCTGAGACGGGCGCACCTGCAGGGCTCCCGGGCGCTGTGATGCCATGTGGCGTCCGGCCCGACTGGACGCGGGGGGGCGGGGGCACTCCAGCGTCCCCAGGGGGGCTCGTTTGGCTCCTCGCAGAGCGTTTGTCCACTCCCAAGCCCAGCTTCCACGTTCAGTCATGTCACACACTTTCCGTGGGATGGGTGAGCCGCGGCCGTCGGGACACTGGCGGGCGTGCAGCTCCCCAAACACTTCTGAAGCATAGAATTCTTCGAAGAGAGGAAACGTGGGGTTTTTGGCGCAGTCTAACCGATGGGGCAGACGACAGGGCCAGCCCTGTCGCGGGGGACCGGGCAGTGCAGGCGGAGGGCGCTGGAGGCGTGGGCGGGCTTGGCCGGCACACGGGCAGGAGCCGCAGCCCGGTCTCCCCCTCGGGCGGCCTGCGGGGTCCGCTCCTCCTGGTGCGCTGAGGTGGGCGGCACTTTCTCATCCCCTGGAGTCTAATTTGAAAGCTGTGAATGTCGCACTGAAATTGGGACATTTTACTTTCTAGTTTTGGTCTTGCCAGCATTTGCATACATTTTATGTTTAAGCCATGATTTTTTTTAAAGATTTTTTTATTTGTGCATGCAAAACTTGCGCATAGGCCAGAGGTGCGGGGCAGTAAGAGGGGTCACCATAGACAGAGTGGGGAGCAGGACAGGCAGATGGACAAAGTGCACTGCTGAGGGAGCAGCGGGCGGGTCAGGAGAGGTCTGCCTTGCCCTGGGGGTCACCTCTGGGGCGGGGATCGAGCTCTTGCTGAAGCGCTTTTGCTTCTCAGTGCTGCGCTCTAACCCGCTGCGTCACCCGGGCGGGCCCAAGCCATGATCTTTTTAATTCTAAAGCACAGCACCACCTTAAAACTTCTTGAGAAGGAAAAATAAATGGAGGTGACCGTGAGAAGAGAAACCAAGGCGAGGGCCGTGGCAGCTCGTGCCGGCCAGCATCCACCCGGGCCTGCTTGCCCAGCAGAGCGGCCTCTGAGCACGCTGGCTTCGTGGCGGGGACAGGCGCCCTCCACCCATCCCCGGGGCCCCGGGAGGGCCGGGCGCCAGGGGCCCGCTGGTCTCAGGGCCAGGCAGGGTGCACCTTCGTCCTGACCACCCAGAGTCGCCGGGTGTGCGCGTGCCCGCAGTGTCAGCGTGCCCCAGGAAGCCAGGCGTCTGGGGGTGGGTCTTAGACATGAAGGGCGCGAGGTGGCACGTGCTCGTGCGGGTCGGGAGACAAAACTGAGGAGCTAGAAGGCGAGTGTAGAGACCCTGAGGCCTGAGACCGCCGGGGGCTGCAGCCGGGGCGCAGGCGCGGGCGCCCAGAGCTTCTCCTTCCCCCACCCCCCCAAATCAGTCCGTCCTCAGGTCCCATTCTTGTAGCCCGCCGTGAGTCCCGGGGCCAGGGTCCAGAGGCCAGTGCCTCCTTGCGGGCCAGCACCCCAGGTGAGCGCTCGGGGGTGCCCGCACCTGGTGCACTCGGGGCCCCTCGCTGGCGCGGGCTGGGACTCCTGGGAACAGTAGGCGTGGCGTGGGGGTCACCGGGCCTCGGCGCCCGCTGTGCTTTAAGCTCCTTTGCAGGTCACCCTCGGCCTGTCATCCAGGCTGAAGGAGGCTGGCGGTGGCGGACAGCGGTGGCGGACAGCGGCGTCTGGCCGCAGAGACTCACTTTGAACCTGTCTCGTCTCTTCCAGACCTCAGTCTCAGCGGATCGGCAGAGCACTATGAACATCCCCACTGGGGACAGCAGGCCGCGTACCGAGGGGAAGCCGGCTGCGGCTGGGATCAAGTGATCGTCGACCGGGC